ACAGCCCTTTGGGCGGCTAGCAGGGCGAAAGAGTATTTTTGGCCCAGACATTCTGAATCTCAAATGCAGCGCATTGGTGTGTAAGGGTCGCTATAGCAACGGCACCTGTCTTTCCCCATCTGTCAGGGCAAATTAGCAGACAGAAGCAAGTGGCCCAGATGGATGGTTCCAGAGGCTGCCGAGCCCCGGGAGCCCCGCAGGAATGCAGGCATTGAGCTGCATAGCTTTGCCCCCGGAGGGAGGCCGGGCAGGTCAGACCTTGGGTTTATTTCCAAGACAGGCTTTAAATTGGGAAGCGATGGTGGAGAAGCAGGGCTCGGCGCACTCAATGGTACTCTGCCTCACTAATGAGGAGAGGACGTGGCTCACATCACGTACTCTCTCAAAGCAGAGGCACACGTTCAGGGAGGAGATGAGAACGCCAACTTGCTATTTAAAAAAACAACCAATTTCTCCTTTCTCCTTTTGCCTATACAAAAGATGGAAATAATTCACTTTAATTCAAGGGAGTCTTTGCTCCGCCATGGAACATGCCGGTTATCCACGAGACCTCACCTAACCTTGTCTGCACAATCTTGAGAGGCTGAGCCTCACAGCTCCTGGGTCTGAGGCCAGGAAATGAGGGCAAAAGCAATGATTCCCGTGTCCCGGGGAGAAGGAAACCGAGCGTTCTTACCGCAGACATCGGAAACAGCCAGAGGCTTCCTGTAAGGAGCGTCCTGTGACCACTTCCCTCCCGTCCCTCCCCTGACCCTTAATGTGCAAATACTAAGAAGGACCCGTGAGTTCAGGGAGGCCAGCAAGCTGGCATACGGGTCTGCAGTGCTCAGTATCGTGCCCGGAGTCACTCACACCTGCCCGCGGACGCACACTGGGTGACGGATCTGTCCCTGGCTTATGGTTGGGGACCGCCAAGAAGGCTAACGCCAGTGTCCTATGCGTCCTTCCTCACCGGAATCCGTACTCCTCTGGAGCAACTGCGAGCCCAGCCCGTGAACGCCTGCCTTCAGGTGCTGGCCGTGCTCCCAGGCACTGAGGGGCACACAGGTTTGTCACCCCTTCAGAAGCTTATGAAAGCCACCGGCACCATGGGGACAGCAGAGAGGCTGTGAAGCTCAAAGCCCTCAAATCCGGCAGCGACGGCTTTGTCCGAAGACCTTTTTCAGCTGCTCTGTAAGCTGACAACCACGCAGGTCGTAAGGAAGGTGCCACCGTGGGGTCCGGGGGCCGTGATGGCTGAGGTCGTGGCCCCAAGTCAGCAGCCCGGCCTCCTGCCCTCGCGGTGCTGGGGGATGGGCCTGACCGAATTTCTAGCCCCCAGGTGTTTCCCAGATCAGGGCTGGGCACATCTCTAGGGGAGAGGTTCTGTTCCCGGCCAGATCCTGGGCCCCTGACACCCTCTCCCCATCCCAGGCTGTAGATGGGCCTGTGGGAAACTCGGCTGTCATTTTCACCGGCTTCCCAAGATGCACCTCGGCGGTCATGTGGCTTCTACCAGCGCCGGCCCCGCCTCTCCTCCTGCGCCGGCCCCGCCTCTCCTCCTGCGCCGGCCCCGCCTCTCCCTGCGCCGGC